GCTTAGACAAAGTAACAATTTAAAAACGATAACGAAGTTCGTTAAGACTAAAATGTATGGGATTGACATAGGCCGCGTTAAGTCACGTGGTCAATCGACATCGTTATCGCAATTTGGTAGACAATGTTATATTTCATAACGAAACTATAAAGTAACGAATCGTTATCGTGTTTATTCCATATAAATGCGTAGACAAGCAGACCTTTCAGTGTTCGCCAACGCCTCGATCGTGATCGCCAAAAAAGATAACGAAACGAATGCTAAAACGTTGTAGTTATTGAAACAATATGGCCGAATTTCATTCGGCAGCAGATTTTTGACATCGATTGATCCTGTTATTATTTATTTTGTGTTAGAGGCAATACACTAATACAGATCAAATAGATTAAAATATGCATTCTCTGCGTTTATTGTGGGCTGCATACAATGAGACCGCCTAGGAGAGGCGCCAAAAACGGTTAAAACAGCGACGGTTCAACATAGGTACTTCATTGTTAAGATCGCGTCATTGTTTACATTACATACTCATGAATGAAACTTAGGTTTACTTACGTTTCCATATACTCGAGCAGCGTTGCGAATTGTTCAGAACTTGCTCGCACTCTTGATTCCATGTTTTATCATTTAAATAGATAAGAAATAGAGAGAGATCCATCATCGTTTGAACACCAGGCACTTATAAAAATGAGTCTATTTTGATTATCATTAAGTTTTGGAAACGATCTAAAAGTAATAACACTCTATTCACTTACGACTGTAAAATTATTGTTTATATTTAACTTAAAAACAATTAAACGCAACACTCACTTTCTCATTAATAAAATTTTAAAACATCAATATCTCGCGGGTTTGATCCGATTTGAACTTTTTGACTGTCTCTGACAGCTGGATTTTCGATACCATAACCAATATTTTTGTTTTTTGCCGAATAAAGAATTCGACACAACGATCACGACCACAGTGTTACATTGGCTAGGAAATGTTTATCGTTATCTCAGAGACGATGGCGAATTTACTTTTCGTTTCGCTATTAAGCGATGTTACTTTGTCTAAGGACCCTGCTCGGCCGTGATATCACTCCGTTCGAGCCAGCCCATTCGTGCCGAAGCATGGCTCTCCCACACTTTGTTGTTATTTACTGAATGTATCTTCTTCATCTTCACAGATCTTCACATTTTAAAACTACGATCTTTCCAAAAAAGTTGCCCGGCACCGTGCTATCGACTATAAACGAGAGAATTTTATTTTTTTAATGGTCAATTCTAATAAGTTTAGTATCATCAGAGGGTTGATCAAGTCCACTTACTTAAATCGATGAAAGTTGTAATTCTCTATAATATCACACGTCCGCACTAAACGAGACCTCATGAATTATTTGAATAGAAAGAAAACTTGGTCAAACATGGTCTAAGCCCGTCGATATGCCCTGTCTCTCTCGCACTACTGGATCTTTGGTATACCCTGTCACACTCTTGCACGGCCCGGAAAATGTCATAGATTATTTGGAACAAACAGGTCATGTATTTACGGTTAAAATAGTATGAGTAATGAAGATAGTTTGAAGTTAAGACTAAAAGTTTATTCGGAAATCTTATGTTCGAGACTCTGATAGCATAATAATTTATTAAGCCCTGAGCAAAATGTTCCGAATCTAAATTCGTGGAGTGTATCCCATAGCTTTCACAAATGTGTGAAAAAATATTCCAACAAGCTCTCAAAGAACTCAACCCGCAAAATGGCTGGTAATGCACTAGTAACTCATTTGGTGTTGTGGGTGCCTGTGGCTGGTTCTAACCCTTTGAGATCGCCCCATTGGGTGCTTTTCATCCCTTAATAAAAAGTAACAAAATTGATATGTTATAATTATGTCTGACAAAAAGTTTAGCTAAATTACATTAACACGTGTATCTTTGTGTTTCATCCCAGGAAAACAATTATTTTGAAGGACTAACTACGTTGTAGGGATGGGTTGGATTGTCCTATCTTAAACGTCCATAATCTTTGGCCCGTAGTATTGGAGCGTAGGGGTTTCCTACCCCTCTAGCCAGTGTAACAAGGCGCGATCGAACGACGCAACGTGTCGCGTCTTCCACAAAAATAAACACGAAAAAAAATGTAGACGAAATTAATTTAAGTATTAAAATCACGCGACGTCGTACTACGCACGCGAACGACGGATTTAAAAATATTCAGTGTTCTTTCAATTTTTTTTCATTAAAAGTTATTTTCTTTTTTTGTGTGCCAAGTTGTGACCCGTGTTAATATAGTTGGAGGCAGTATTTTACTTGGTTTACCTCATCTAAGGCTTTCACAGTGTAATTATAGGTAAGTGCGATATACTTCCTTCCATGTAGTTACTTGTTTCGCGTTTCTTCAGTGGTTTATTAAATTCCCTGTCAGTTTTACTTAAGACAAAAATGCGCAATGAAATTCCTAACTTTTTGATTAGACACACTTTCATTTTTTGTCACAGATTGCCTAGATTCATTTAAGTGTAAGGGAATTTTGAACAAAATTTACGCATTCGCTAATTTTATAGGTTCTTACTTGGCTATATAAAAATATTGCGTGAATTGGAGAGTTTAAATGTTGCTTTTGGAAAACTAAATCAAGTTATGGATTCCTGATTAACTTTTATTTTAATTGGAAAATAGAAAACGTGACTACATCATTTGAAAAAAAAGCTAATATCAATACCAAGCCATCAAAGGCTGCCAATTAAATAAGAGATAAATAATATAGTAAATAGATAAAAATAGTTAATTTATGATTTATGTTATTTAAAGTTTTTCTTTAGTAAACGTACAATATTATAAATTGTATTTAATAAAATTACATTAATACAATCTTAAATACTATGGTAAATAAGGGGTTACTGTTAAAATATCTAATATATGATGTTATTTTACTTAAAATATATTTAAATTAACCGGTAATTGTTTAGAAGGACGGTCATGTAATACGATAAATATTTATTTTTAAGATGGTGTAACTTAGAAATTTCACCAACATATGTTGGCAATGGAATTACTCGGTGATGGATTACCAATTTCTTTCGCTTCATCAACAGTCATTACTATATCAGGTTACTGTACCAACAGTTCAATAGGGATGATGACAGGGTATGAAAATTAAAAATCTAATTAGTCCGTAAGTTAGGTAATGAAAAAATATTAGACACGTATTTTTTTTAGTCGTATATTAAAACAATACTTAGATAAACGAATCAAAGTTTAGGAGTGGGGGTTAAAACGTCATTTCTACATTTAAAATGTCCATAGAAGTGACGTCACGCGACATTTCAAATCAATATATCGTCGAAAGTATTCGTTTCTGTAAGAAAATAGTAAATACGAGTCTAATGATTTAAAGTAATCTATCAGACGGACATTAAAATACTACTAGACTACTACTACCTTATTGTTTGCTCTGCGCAGCTACTATTTATTTTAATTAGTTAAAACTGCACAGATTTCCTATCGATTATCGTAAAGTGTGTAGCGGGCATAATACATGAACCTTCTTAACGCATAACTCTTCTATGTACAGGCGGCTCACAGTCTAGCTGGGAGCTGTCATGGATTGCTTGTGTCATAGTAACAGGCTGCTATTAGGTGGAGGTGGCTTTGGTTGGTTAGGTTTAACACCTGCTAGCAATGTCGTTGCCAAGATAAAATGTAGCTAATGAATTAGTTCAGACTATATATAGTATATCTGTGCAAAATTTTATACATATTCGTTAAGGCTTTGTCTGCCTATGAAAACTGTTGAAGGCAAATCCTCTGCTAACGTCGGTCACTGATGGCGTTTAAGGTATTAAGTCGTTTTTGTGTAAAGTAGTAACACATATACATAATTATGGACCTTCTCATAAACTTTAACCTTTAATAGATATATTACTAGTTTCTGCCCGCGACTTCGTACGGCGCAATCCCGTTTTCTCCCGTTCCCGTAAGATTTTCGGGATTTTATCTGTCTTAAGATCCTTCTCCTAATAATAATAAATACAACAAAAAAGAATTAGTGAAATCGGTCCAGCCATTTACGCGTGATGCCATGACCAAGGGAAAAGGGATTCAATTTTTTATATATAGATAGACTAGCTTCTGATAGTGGCTTCGCCCGTATTTCCGTAGGATAGAAAGTAGCTTAACTGTTATTTCAGATCATAATCTAGTCCTGCACCAAATTTTACTCTCCGATCTCTTCAGCCGTTTTGAAGTGAAGGAGTAAGAAACATACAAACTATCGTATTTATTGGAAGAAAGTAGAATAGTAGGATAGCTTTATAAATGCTAAATATATAACTAGCTACTTCCACGCGTGGTTTCACTCGCTCTACTCGGCGCCTATTAATCGTAGCGTGATATTTTAGCCTATAGCCTTCCTCGATAAATGGGCTATCCAACACAGAAATAATTTTTCAACTCGGACCAGTAGCTTCGGAGATAAGCGCGTTCAAACAAACGAACAAAAAAAACAAACTCTTCAGCTTTATAATATTAGTATAGATACAGAATTCTGAAATTTGTTTACGGGATAAATAAGATTTGTCTACCATCTTTGTGAATAAGAAAACGAACATAGATTTAAATTCTGAACCCGCCATAATTCATAGCTTTGTCCATGAGCCTTTTTGATATTTCAAATAGATTTTGCGAATGGTTTAACGGATTGTTTTGTTGGAAGTGTTTCTGTAAAATATTTTGTTCATTAAAGGAAAACATAAATATAAAATCGTATAATTGTATCGTATAGTCATATAAAACTCTACGAACTTTGATATATTTGTTTTTCTTACATAACATACAACATGACATCACGCCTTTTATCCCTGAAGGGGTAGGCAGAGGTGCACATTATGCCACTATACACTGTAACACCCACTTTTCACTATTTATGTTATGAGTCCCATGTAATAGGGGGCGAGCCTACTGCCATATACCGGGCACAATTCCAGACTCCGTGCTACTACTGAGAATTTTTTAAAACCCAGTAATACTTTGCCCGACCCGGGAATCGAACCCGAGACCCTTTGCCCGGCAGTCGCATTTGCGACCACTCAGCCAACGAGGCAGTTTGTTTTTCTTTTTATTAGTTTAACATGTAATGTCGTGGTGGTCCGGAGGTTTAAGACGCCCGCTTCTCATGCATGAGGGTACGGGTTCGAAACCTACCAACGGCAAGTACCAATGTGACTTTTTCCGAGTTATATGTACTTTCTAAGATTATTCAGACACGACTAACAAACGGTGAAGGAAAACATTGTGAGGAAACCTGGGCTTATAATTTCTAATTATAAGTTTGTAATCGCCAACCCGCATTGAGCAAACGTGGTGATTAATGCTTAAACCTTCTCCTTGTGAGAAGAGGCTTTGCTCAGCAGTGGGCATTTATAGACTGTTGATGAATTAGTTTAACATATACTTCCATGGATATATAGGTAATACTTATGGGTACTTCCCATTAATATGCCATGCACAAAAATGTAATAGAATAATTTTAAAGTAATTTTTGTTTCTGTATCAATTTGAAGATGTTTGTAAATATTATGTGATAATTCTTTCATATACTATGTTTAAAAATATCAACTACCGACTTCAAAAAAAGCGGGGATTGAATCCCCGCTTTTTTTGAAGTCGGTTTATTAATATACTAAAACGTTCTCCTAAGCAACAAACACTTTTCTGAAACCCAGAACATACATAGATACATATAAATAAATCCAACTGAGAACCTCCCTTTTTATGAAGTCGGTTAAAAATGAATGTAAAGGGACAACGGAATTTTATTACTCTTCACGGAAGCAAAGATTTATTTATTTTATGAGACTGCATGACAATTTGCTCTGAATTATTGTGCTCTTGAAGTGCCATTTTTAAGGGTGTATATAAAAGTCAATCAAGTTTTTTGTCTGTCTTTTTATACATAACTAGCAGCCCGTCCCGGCTTTGCCCGGGGTAGACAATTATTTATTTTTGGAAATTTGGATTGTTTCTACCGCGGAGTTTTTTGTAGACATTATGATGTTCTTCAATATTGTTGTACATTATTTTGTTCTATCGCTTTCGGTTACATTGTTCAAATCTTACCAAGGATCCCTAATTTTTTCCAAAATGAAATGTAGCCTATGTCAAATTGGAAGAAGGTAGCATTCTATTGGTGAAAGAATTTTTTAAATCGGCCCAGTACTTTTTGAGCCTATTCATTACAAACATACGAAAATAGGTACAAATCTTTCCTCTTTATAATATTAGTATAGATGTACTATACATTCATGTACTGCCTCTTTAGTCATCAGTGCAATTGTCAAGTAATTGGTCCCGGGGTTAGTTTCTGGATTGGTCGTCCTTTTGGGATTTCGAATGTTGTTTGACTAAAATTTGTGCTTGGAATAAAAGGTTGGCAGGCCACAACTGTGCGCTTTTCACTTAGCTTTCTGTCTCGCACAGCAAAACTGTGAAATCATCTGCTGTCAGTGGTATTTTAGAACCGATACGATATTCAAACTTCCAAGAAGAGAGCGTAGAGTGTAGCCTTTTTAAAGGCTGACAACGCACCTGTGACTCGTCAGGTGTTGCGGGTGTCTATGGGCGGCGCTGATCGCTTATTGGTAGGTGATCCGTTTGCTCAGGTATACAGGTAATATTTTACAAAAGAAGTTTTATGATATACAACAAAAAAAAGAAGAGAGTAGGTTTACATAAGAGAAAAGTTCCAAAACGCCTTTTCTTTTTTTAAATGTTACACAACGCATGAAGTCGACAGTGTAGAGTAGCCCTTAGGTACCTTCTCTCAGAGCATGCGTATTCAACCTTAATAAATAAGTCGGACGCGGGATTCCCGAGTGTGACGTCACAGTATATATCACAACTAGAAGAGATATTGAGGGATATTCTAGATACTCTATATTTCAAGTTGCTGCATATATGCATGTTTCAGTCGTCGAAGCCCTGAGGCTGAAACCCGCTTCTCGTGCATGAGGTCCGAACGAAACCTACAAATTGAAAGTGCTAATGTGACTATTTCCGAGTTATATGCACTTTCTTAGACAATTTAGACATCACTGATAAACGGCGAAGGAAAACATCGTGAGGAAACCTGGGCTTATAATTTCTAATTACAAGTTTGGAATCACCAACCCGCATTGAGCTAGCATGGCGGCTAATACTCAAACCTGCGTCTAAGAAGGTCTTTGGTTGGCTGTATCCACTTATAGTCTGGTGATGTGAAACGAGTATATGGATCACCTGATGGTAGACATAACGTCCGTAACATCAGAAAGAAAAATAAACTAGTTTATTTGCGCGTTCACAAAGTCGTAT